TGTGACAGCACACTCCTCCTTTCTACCCCTGATTTCCCATGTCTATTCAACCAGCTTCTGACCCTCTCTGCCTTCTCATCTCACCTCCAGACAGGAGCTGCCGATTTAGTCTCATGTATCTACTTGAGCTAAGAAGCACACTCTTCACGAGTATCATTTTATGTCCATGGTCCAGTCTAATCTTTCTCTGAAGAGTTGGCCTTGGGAATGGACCAACTGCCACCTTTAAGCCTCAGTTTCCTCATCTGTTAGATGGTGATAATATTGCCCATCCTTTAGGCAGACACAGATTTTTTGTGCGGCTATTAAAGCTTATGCTTCAGGCTCCTGTGAGTGCAACATGTTTTTAGGAGTTTCAGAGTGTTCTAGGTGAAAAGAGGAAGCTAGTTTGCAATCAGGAAGTATTTCTGTGTAAGCATTTTTAGTAATTTGTCTAAAAATATCCTAGAAGAAAGAACCTGAATCTTTAAGCTACAGTGAATTGATAATGATTTTTAAATTCTAAATAAAATATTCATGTTTATACCTAGTTTTGTATTTTTTATTTTAAAGAGATTCCTCTCTCCCCAAATTGTATAAGCTTTGTGTCCCACGAAACCTGTATCCACCCTGCCTATAGGGCTGTTGCAATAAATAAATAAAGGTGCAAAATGTTTATTACAATCAACAAAGTGGGTGATGGGCAGGAACAGACAGTTAAGTGAGAAAGAAAGAAAAGTGATTCTCAAGCATACGAAAATATGCTCAGTCTCACTCATGAACAGAAAAATTCAGATTAAAATGACGTTAAGATGCCGTTTCTCACAAATCCAAAAATTTGACAGCATTCTTTTGGGTAAGGCCTTAGGGAAATAGGCATGTTTATATATTGTTGGTGGTAGTGCAGTGGGGTGGAATCTGATATATCTGTCAGAACTACAGATGCATGGACTGTTTTATCTAGTAGCCCAGTGGTGTGCTGGAGCCAGCTCACAAGATCTGCATGTGTACATGTTTTCCTAGCTCTGTGTTCAGTGAATTCATGTGGGGAGCTTGAAATCAGCCATGGTGGGAGTATTTACACTATGGAAATCAGCAGATGTTACAATCAGGGCCTTATTTGAGGGGGAGCTGGTTGTTAAACATTTACTAGCGCGCTACTGCAGCCACCTCATTACAGAGAATCTGTCCTCCAGGTATCCCTGTGCATGCTTGGAATGACATGTGTACAAGGTTATTTATTGGAACATTGTGATAGCAAAAGTTTGGAAATAACTCAAGTGTCCCTGTGAACATATGGTGTATCCACACCATGGCATACCTACCAGCTGTAAAGGAGAAGAAGCTCTCTATTCACTGACATGCAAAAAAATCTTCAGGATACGTGGTTAAATGGATCAAACAAGTTGGAGAACAATATATGTACCACTTTTTTTGTGAAAGAAATGGGGAGAAATAAAAATATGTTGTCTATATGCACGTATACACCAAGAAGTAGTGGAAGCATAATCAAGTGGAAATGAGACTATTTAATGTATGCCTTTTACAACATTTTGAAGTTTGAGCTAGGTAAAAGGATGACCCAGTTAAAAAAAATTAAAATGACTCAATAAATTTAATAAACTCTCAATAAGTGAAAGCTATTTTTAAACCTTTTATTATGAAAAATTAAAACATAGCTCTAAGTCGAGAGGAGTAGGATGAACCTTCATGGTCCCATCACCAGCTTCAGTAATTATCAGTCTTTGTCCATTCTTGATTCATCTATCCCCTTCTTGCCTACTTTGGTGGCTCTTATTAGAATAGTTATAAGTGCTGAAGTTTGTTCTTGAGCTGTCTAAGTAAATGCCTTATATGCACATCTTGCCCTAACTCTAGGGATTTGGTCCTTACCCCATAGGCGAGGGACAGTTTGAAAAAACACTTCAACTAAACAATGGACAGCTGAAAAAAGGAGGCAAAAGCTTCACACTGTCTAGTCCCAGAGTTGTGTAGGTGCTAAGCGTACAGGCTCTGGAATTAGCTGGCTTGGTTAAAATTCTCACTAGTACCCAGTTGCGATTGAGTTGATTCCGACTCGTGGTAACACCACGTATGTCAGAGTAGAGCTGTGCTCCGTAGGGTTTTCATTTGCTGATTTTTTTGAAAGCAGATTGCCAGGCCTTCCTTCTGAGGTGCTTCTGGGTAGACTCAAGCCACCAAGCTTTTAGTTAACAGCCAAGCACAATAACCATTTGTACTACCCAGGGACTCCTTGAAATTCTCAGGCCACTATTTATTAGCTCTGTTACCTTGGGCAAGTTACTGACCCTCTTTGAGACTCAGTTTCCTTATATATAAAACGGGGATAAAAGTATAACTTTTTTTTTAATTCATCTTTCTTTTGTGAAATCAAATGAGGCTGTTCCTATCCAGTGATCATTACAACAGTAGGCACACAATAAATATCATTTAACAGCTACTGTTATACTGTGGCTGCTGCTACTACTGCTATTACTACTATTACTACTGTTACTGCTGTTACTGCAGCTAACAAAATCATACCCACTCTCCCTTGCACTGCTTGGAAAGCATGTGAATCTCAAATTTGTCTTGGAAGAGGTTCAGCTCTCAGGCTCTCAGATTTATGAATTATAAAAAGGTAACACTTATTAATTATGGAACTTGGAAGTTGTCATTAATCTTGC